TAAGAAAGCCCAAACAGTAACATGTTTTGCAACGAGACGAGCTTTGTATCATTCTATTGAACCATCGACATGGTGCTTGATCTTGTAAACCCATTTACAGCCAATGGGCTTCTTGTGAGGAAGATTTGGAACAAGATCCCAGGTATGATTCTGAGAAAGAGCACTGAGTTCTCAGCCATGGCGTGGCACCAATGTGCATGGGGAACAACATCATAATAGCAGGAAGGCTCTTGCTGGATAGAAATCTAACTAATACAAATCCTGTGGGTAGGGGACAGTCTGTCATAAGTAACATAATTGGAAGTAGAGTAAGGTGTACCTGTGGTAGTTTGAATGGTAGGATAGACATAATCTTCTATCCAAATAGGTGGGCGGGTGGCCTTTGTGGACCTTCTCTGAGGGAGGACAAGGACTATAAGAGTATTATCCAAAGCTAAAGGTAGACTAGTGTGCTATTTTTCTGGAGAGGAATTAGGAGAAGTGGAAACTAGTTTTAAAGTGATCATGGAGGGTCCCATATCATGGATGGGATGCATGGTATAATGAGGTCTTGATAGACCATCTTCTGAAGGACCTTCCAAAAAAGGTGAAGATTGTGGAGATTTATCAAAAGTGGACTTGTTTAAAAATGGAAAAGAGTCTTTATGAAAAATCACATCTTTAGAAACCAAGAATTTTTCTGAGGTTAGATCATATGGTTGATAACCTTTCTGATGCATTGGGTAACCCATAAAAACACATTGAGTAGCCCGAGGAGAAAATTTATCATGCCCCCCAAAATTTGTAGAATAACATAAACACCCAAATACTCGAAGATGATCAACTGTATGCTGTTTACCAAAAAGAAGCTCATAGGGTGAACTTGGCATTCGATTGATCAGGTACGTGGTCGTGACCTCACATTAGCCCCAAAGAGCGATAGAGGTGTTGACTTGGTGCTTTAGGGCACTGGTGACCTCTAAGAGATGTCGATGTTTCTGTTCAACTATGCCATTCTGTTGAGGTCTATAGACACATGAGCTCTCATAGATAATACCAAGAGAAGAAAAAATGGTCAAACATTGAGTGTTAAAAAATTCCCTAGCATTATTAGTTTGAATTCGTTGAACTGAAAGATCAAATTGGGTTTTGACCATGGACAAAAAATGTCTGATGTAAGTGAGTGTCTGTGTTTAAGATTGCATGAGGTAGACGTAGGTTCCACGAGAGTAATCATCAACAATGGTTAGAAAAAATCTAGAGCCATCATGATTGGATGTGTGATATAGACCCCATGTGTCCATATGAACCAAGGAAAAAATGCGTGTGGTGGAAGGTGTGTGTTTGGGAAATGTTGTGCAGGATTGTTTTGCAATAGGACAAACAGGACAATTGGGTTGAGGAATAGATGCACTATGACTTAGACGTTGATGCAAAATAAAAGGATTTTTATTAATGTTTGTATTACAAATAGAACTTTTATTATCAGTAATACAAGACATGGAGTTTTTAGCATCAGAATCACCTATCCAATAATAAAAATTATGGTGTACTTTACTTAAGCCTATCAGATTCTCAGTCGAACGGTCCTAAAACTCACATTTGTTAGGAAAGAATTTTAAAACACAGACATTATCTTGACATAGTTTAGAAACAGATATGAGATTGAAACGGAAAGTGGGAACAAACAAGACATTCTGAAGAACTAAGTGTTTGTTAAGATGGACAGTCCCTAATTGAGTGGCTAGTGCATGTGTACTGTTAGGCATGTAGATTGAGGTGTAGGGTATATGGAATGTGTGGGAGAAGTGTTTGGGATTGCAAGCAATGTGGTCACTGGCCCTTGAATTAATTATCCAATATTTTCTTTAATAATATTGGAACAAAAGCATGTACCTGCATAAGATGTTGTATTGGCTTGTGGACTTTGGTTTAGCATCTATAGGATCTGGTGATACTGTTCTTGGCTAAACATAGGGGCAGTAGCACTATTTCTAGAAGTGACAAGGTGACTTACTTGATTGGTAGTGGCAGATCCAAACCATTGGTTTTGGGGGCGACCGTGTAATTTCCAACATGTGTCCCTTGTGTGGTTTCTCTGTTTACAATAATCACAGTAATGGTTTTGTTGGACTTGGATGGCCCATGAGATGAATTAAAATTGGTGGAATGAGCTAGGCCATTTTTCGAATTGGGCCAGCAACAAAACTTGAGCCCAAGTTATTATTTAGCCCATAAATCCAACTTGATTCTATGCCGTTGGATAAGGGGATTTGATTTGGGCCGTTCACTCCTCCATACAAAATAAAACTTTCTCCTTTAGGTTGCCTTAACCCCCATTTGCCATTGCCATTCTTTGTCTCTGTTGGTCCAATCTACGATGCTGTGGGGTGACTGCGAAAGCAGTAGCCTCAACACTTGATTGAGAGTCAAACGAAGCCGATCTCTAGATTTTGTCTTACACTGCCAAAAGGTAGGTGCGCCGGAGAGATGGCTTCGGTGATGTAGCCAACATCTATGCCTCAAAAGCTAAAAAACTATCATTCAAACCAATCAAAAAGTGAATTAACCTGTTTTGATCCTTAACATGCTTGATCTGTTGAAGAATCGTGGAGAGCCTTTTAAACAGTTCTTCAACAGCATCAAGTTCATTCCAAATCGCCAAAAGGTGATTGAAATAAGTAGTGATTGGCAGGTTGTGTTTCTTGATCTCAAGAAGGTTTTTACGCAAAGTAAGATCTTTATGAGATCTAATTGGCCATACATCTCTCAGATGTTTGCCCACATCTCTTGGGCATTTTTCAGTTTGAGGCAAGTCAGTAGCAATCTCTTAGCTTAAGGAGTTGCTGATCCAGGCATGAACAAGGGTATTGCACCGAGTCCAGTGTTGGGAAATGTGTGGTTTAATGGGTTGAGGAAGGGTTCCATCGATGAACCCTTCCTTATTTTTGGTTACTAGAGCTCGCCAGAAGTCCTTGGCCTAGGTGGTGTAATTTTGAGATCCGGCGAGGGGTTGTTTCATGAGCACAAGCTCAGATCCATCGGAAACTGAAGAAAAAAAGGCATCCCTGGTTCCGCTCGACCGATGGTGGCTGAAAGAATCTGGAAAACCGAGTAGGCATTTTGACCTGTCGAGTTAGGGTTTTGACCTATAAACCTGAATGGAAATGGGCCGGTTTGGAAGTTGGATCCAAGTTGGTAGTTAGGGTCTGTTTGATGGTTGGACTAGTTTGGGTGTTTGGGTATGTTGGATGAGTTGGGTTAGTTTGGTTGTGTGGGTTTGTGTTTAGTGACTCATTTGTGGCCGTGGACTCTAAGTCCAGCTCTATGGGTGTTTTGGTTGGGTCCATTTAGTGATGTTTGAGAAAGATAATCTAATCCTACTGCCTTGTTTTGCAGGTTCAGAAAAACAATGGCTTAGAGAGGATTTTGGCGGAAGCAAAGAATTGCTCTAATATCTTGTTAGAGTTTAGGCTGGAAGGAAGGCAAAAGAGGTAGAAGACTTTCGAAGGATGCCAATAGAGGGAAGCTTGACAAAGTAGTAGAAACAATTCTGAAGGATGTCAAGAAAAGAGAGAATAGAAGACTGTAATTTTGTATATATTTCATCTATTGTAATGAGTACATTAGCCGATTTATATAGTAGCTTTGAATAGAATAAAGGCAATGAAATAATACAGTAAAGGAAATATAATAAAGACTTAATTACAAAATATTACATTAATCAATCAAATAAATGCAAATCAATAATTACTTGATTCTAGAATGAGTATCTTCAGCATTCATATTTCATCAATAATCAATAAAATTTTAAACTACAACAATAAAGTATTTGGTGAACGGCTCTTAAAATTGATTATAAAATAATCAAATTTATAAAAGGATTTCAAAGGCTACTTAGGGTAGCTTTTCAAAATCAGATTATTTTCAAAGTTGATATTGTGTGTTCAAATGACATGTATACCTTTGTATTATGGTTTTATTTACAAAGAAGTTTAAAAATAATAATTTATTAGATATATAATTTAAGTGTTTTTAATAAAATAAATAAAATTGAACTGACAGGCGACAGAAACAGTGAAGTGATGGTGGCAGCAATAGTAGATGTTGATGACAGATTTTGACTCGGTGTTTGGCCACAAAAGGAGGCTGAATGTTTCATCGCCTTTTGCGGCAAAATGACACATTGAAATATGGTGATTTCACTAGATTCCAACGAATTGGCTCTTGCCATTCTTGAAAGGACCTGTTGTGATGTTAATGCTCCATTGTTGACCTAGTTAAGCGGCGATTGACCACCATCGGCCAGATCTAATTTTTTATTTTTTAAAATTAATTAATTAGTAATTTATTTAAGATAAATTTTGGTTACATTTTTAAATATTTATTTTATACCTAACAAAATATAAATTTAGAATTATAAAAATATTTTAAGAAATAAAATGTCTATTTTGATCATTATACATACACCAATAATTTCAAAATCTAATTTACCAATCACATAATCATAAAATTTGAAAATCACAACAATTATAAAAGTAGTGTTTACCAAACGCAATTCAAATTATTTTTAAAACTGATTATTTTCAAGTTGGGGAAAAATTGATTAAATTTAAAGCTATAGCAATTGCAAATTAGCCCTAATAATAAAAATTGGCTCACAACCCAATCTTACAAACTTTCTCTCATAACTCTGATGTGTTAGCTTGCAATTAGACAGACGGAATCGATTACGAACTGTTACTTCGAGATTGTAAGAGAAAGTTTATAAGATTAGATTATAACTTGAAAGTAGAGTTTTGCCCTTAGCCCTAATGCAATGTGCTTCAATCTTGTCTCATGAGTCATGACAACACATAAAATTGGGCTTAACTAGAATCCACGAAGAAAAGGATTCAGCCCTCATAAAGGCCCAACAGTGAGCCCAGCCCATCATAGCCCAACAAGAACTCCCCTTCCCAACGGCTTCATCAGTAATTACTCAAAATTTCAAATTCAAAAAACGCCCCGCTCCGCTCTCACCGTTGCCTGTGTCTCAGCCAGTAAACTTTTTTTCTCTTCAATGGCGACTCCAAATCCTTATCTCAACACGCCAACAAAAACCCCATCAGAAAAATCCTCTTCAAAGCATCAACATAACTCTTCGGAGTCGGCTTCCGCTCGCTCCTCTCGATTCGAGGCCTACAACCGCCTGCAGGCCGCGGCGGTAGCTTTCGGAGAGAAGCTTCCGATCCCGGAAATCGTTGCCTTGGGAGGTCAGTCTGATGGAAAGAGTTCTCTCCTTGAAGCCCTCCTTGGATTCCGGTTCAATGTGCGTGAAGTCGAGATGGGTACTCGACGACCTCTTATTTTACAAATGGTTCACGACCCGACTGCTGTCGACCCACGTTGCCGGTTCCAGGTCAGCTCGTTAGATTTCCAAAGCTTAGTTCTATTTTTTCTGCGTTCGGGTTGTTCGTTATCATGTTGTATGTGGTGATGATTAAATTGTTAATTCTAGGGTTTGTGCTGTTTAGATATGAAATAAACTTGAACTACCTAGTGCTTTTTCAGGAAGTGCTTTTTTCTCAAGCACTCTTGAGAGTTGAAAATATAGTTTAGGCTTTTGTTATGGTGGTAACTTTTAGAAATTTGAGTTTTTTTCTTGATGAGATTGTTAATTCAATATGCACAGAGCTCCAGCTGGTATTTTTCCTTTATGCATTACATGTGGATTGTTTCCTTTCCCATTCATGCTGTTTTAGTGCTTCTATTAGTGTGCGATACTGAAAATTTAGAATTAAAAACAGGAAGAAGATTCTGAAGAATATGGAAGTCCAGTTGTTTTGGCATCTGCAATTGCGGATATTATAAAATCAAGAACTGAGGCACTTTTGAAAAAGACTAAAACTTCAGTTTCTTCCAAGCCAATTGTAATGAGAGCTGAATATGCGCATTGTCCTAATATCACAATAATTGATACTCCAGGCTTTGTTCTCAAGGTATGTTGAAGACAGTAGCAGAAGAATTTCAAATTTTCAAATACATTAGTTATGTTTGCAAATGGAATATCTCATTTATGGTCTGAAAAAATTTTGGCAGGCAAAGAAGGGAGAGCCGGAGAACACGCCTGATGAAATTCTTTCAATGGTAAAGTCACTTGCTAGTCCTCCCCATCGGATTCTCTTGTTTCTTCAGCAGAGTAGTGTGGAATGGTGTTCATCATTGTGGTTGGATGCCGTTCGTGAAATTGATCCAACCTTCAGAAGGACAGTAATTGTTGTCTCCAAGTTTGATAATCGGCTCAAGGTACAAATTGACAATTTTTTTTTTCTACTTAATCTTGGAATATAATTCTGAGCTTAAAGAAATGAAAGTAGTTGAAATCAATGAGTGAGAGTGGTGCATATTCTCCAATTGAAATTTCAATTTACAGAATCACCATCTTTTTATAGTGATAGTTGTAATTATGTTGACAAAAATCTGGGAAAATCTGTAGTCCATAAAAATGACTGAAAAATTTGTTTATTGCTCATACTCATTGGTCTATAATGAAGTTAATTGTTCAAGTGAAAAGGTGGGTTTATTGGTTGATGAAATTATTAAAGAAACCTTGTTCATATGGCCTGACATATTGTAACAGATAGACTTGAAACTATATGCATAATAATTGTGTTCTTTGTTAAACCAATGCAGGAGTTTGGTGATAGGTGGGAAGTAGATCGGTATTTGAGTGCTAGTGGATACCTTGGGGAGAATACTCGCCCATTTTTTGTGGCCTTGCCAAAGGACCGGAGCACTATTTCAAATGATGAATTTCGCAGGCAAATTTCTCAGGTGGATTCAGACGTTCAGCGTCATCTACGTGAAGGAATTAAGGGAGGATATGACGAAGAGAAGTTCAAGTCCAATATCGGTTTTGGATGTCTGAGGGACTTTTTGGAGTCCGAGCTTCAGAAGAGATACAAAGAAGCTGCTCCAGCAACTCTGGCTTTGCTTGAGCAACGCTGCACTGAAGTTACCACTGAGCTGGCCAGAATGGACTCTAAAATACAGGCTACTTCGGACGTTGCTCATCTCCGTAGATATGCCATGTTGCATGCAGCTTCGATCAGCAATCACGTGGTGGGTGATCATTCTAGTAAGATTTTACTCAACTGCATATAGCCAGTGGTTTCACGTGAGTCATAGTTACCCATGAATGTACTTTATTGATCTGTTTACTCACGCTTTACCCTAAATTTGCTATCTGTCCAATCATTTTCACTTTCAGATGTCATAGTTACACAGCGATAAGTAGTTCTTAGAGATTGAAGTTGCAATGAAATTTTTTTTTCAACATTCTCTTGTCTTCATATTAGGGAACTTTAATTGATGGAGCAGCAGATCCTGCACCAGAGCAGTGGGGGGAAACTACGGCAGAGGAACAGTCAGAGAGTGGTATTGGAAGTTGGCCTGGTGTTATTGTGGATGTAAAACCTCCTAATGCCACTCTTCGGCTCTATGGAGGAGCTGCTTTTGAAAGGGTGATTCATGAATTTCGTTGTGCTGCATATTCCATTGAGTGCCCCCCAGTATCAAGGGAGAAGGTATATATATATACATGTAAAGAACCTATGTAGCCCACAAATTGTAGTTAGAGCATGTGGTTTCGAAAGTAATGAATTAGTGAAATTTTTACTTTTCCTGAATCAGGTGGCAAATATATTACTTGCCCATGCTGGCCGCGGTGGGAGTAGAGGAATAACAGAGGCTGCTGCAGAGATTGCACGTGCGGCTGCACGGTCATGGTTTTCTCCTCTTCTTGACACTGCTTGTGATCGGCTTGCCTTTGTCCTAGGAAACCTCTTTGATCTTGCCCTTGAGAGAAATCGCAGCCAAGATTCTGAATGTGAGAAGCCTTTAAGTCTCTTATGTTTCCATTATATTATTAGTGGATGTAGTTCAATATTCCTCACCTCTTCATTTTCAAATTTGGAGGTTGGTTTCTTTTCAATATTATTTATGGTCTGGTATTAAATTTATAATCATCATTCATCCATCCAGGACGGGTGAGTGGAATAGAAACGGTAAGTGTTCCTCTAAGATATGTGATCAACTTTGCGATTCATGCAGTTTCTGCCCCTTTTGTGTTCTTCCTCTTTGTTAGTTTTGAATGTCACTAATAGAAATTGATATGGGGTTGTCTTTTGATTGTGCAGATGGAAGAAAATCTGGAAACATGGATGGATATGTTAGTTTTCATGCAGCTTTGAGACATGCTTACAGTCGGTTTGTGAAGGACCTAGCCAAGCAGTGCAAGAAACTAGTTCGACATCACCTGGATTCAGTCACCAGTCCATATTCTCTGGTTTGTTACGAGAATGAATGTCAAGGAGGCTTTGGCAGTGGCATTTCTAACTATAAATTCAATCAAGCTTCAGCTGGTTCATTTTGTTTTGAATTATCTGATGGTGGGGCCGCATCCCGTGATGAAACAATGAGAGATCAGGAGAACATAGCTCCACAGAAGAACACACAGCAAACAACTCCAGGAAAAGGTGAAGACGGCAGAGAAGCTCTACGAGAATGCCAAATGACTGTGCCTGAGACCCCATCTCCTGACCAGCCATGTGATTTAGTCTATGCAGCCAAGAAGGAGCCTGGGAACTTCATAGAAGTTGGACCTCGAAAACGAATTTCAAGGATTACAGGCAATAGAAATGGTGAACATTTAAGAGTTCAAAATGGTGGTGGTCTTCTATTTGGAAATGGTGACAGAGACAGTGGTTCAAGGTCAAACTCAGCTTTCTCAGAAATCTGTTTATCAGCTGCACAACATTTTGCTCGGATACGCGAAGTTCTTGTCGAGCGAAGTGTTACATCAACTTTAAACTCTGGATTTTTAACCCCTTGGTAAGCTTCTTTATGCTATCTTGCAACATATCATTTTGGGCTCAACATTTCTGTATTTCATACACATCAGACACTCTTTAGTACAATTGGTTATAACATTCCATATTTATCTAACGGATTGGATTTCTGAATTTTTCTGTGGGTGTAGCCGAGACCGGCTTGTGGTGGCAATTGGATTGGATTTGTTTGCTGTGAATGATGAAAAATTTATGGACATGTTTGTTGCACCTGGTGCCATGGAAGTGTTAGAAAATGAGAGAAAGTCTCTGGAAAAACGTCAGAAAATTCTCCAATCTTGCTTAAATGAGTTCAAGAATGTTGCTCGGTCACTTTGATGATGGCAACTCACAGCTCCAGTTTACTTCCTGTTGATACCAAGGTTTCACATCTAGTGAATATGCAAATTTCTGTTTTCCATTTTTTTATAAACTCAAGTTACTGTATCACACTATTGTGACCTGTCAATTTGATCTCAATCTTTCAGGGTTTTTCATTCGTAAATATTGTGAATTCATTTGAAAGTCATAACAATTATATATATTACAAAGTTAATTCATAGAGAAATTTTATATATCAANAGTGTTAGAAAATGAGAGAGAGTCTCTGGAAAAACGTCAGAAAATTCTCCAATCTTGCTTAAACGAGTTCAAGAATGTTGCTCGGTCACTTTGATGATGGCAACTCGCAACTCCAGTTCCCTGTTGATACCAAGGTTTCACATCTAGTGAATATGCAAAGTTCTGTTTTCCATTTTTTTATAAACTCAAGTTACTGTATTACACTATTGTGACCTGTCAATTTGATCTCAATCTTTCAAGGTTTTTCATTCGTGAATATTGTGAATTCATTTGAAAGTCATAACAATTATATATATTACAAAGTTAATTCATAGAGAAATTATATATATATATTGGAGGAAACTTAATATAAATTTCAGCTTTATGAATAAAATCACACAATATCACTTCCAAAAAATTGAAAAATATAGTGATTTGGCTATTACTATAAAAGTGGGAGGAATTTGAATTGATTTGATTTTTGAAATTGAATTTATAAAAATAATTTTAATTGTGGAATAAAGCGGCGGTTTCTTAAACTGTACATAAAAAGATGTAGCTAGGTTAGGACTGCGGTGAAATAATAAGGGTGTGTTTGGCGGACCCTATAAAGTGCTTTTTTGGTATGTACAGTTTTTTTATGTTGGTAGGGTATAATCATATTGTAACTTTCAGCTTAGATAATAGCAGTAGTAAGGGTGATATCCCTGTTTGTTTGTTTGTTAGATGAGGGCTAAACAAGGATGGTTACGGTGACAATCAATCTTTGAAGGTAAATAAGGGTGGTCAGTTTGTACGTATTTCAATCAATCTTTCAGGGTCTTGAAACTGTTTATTAGATAAGAGTTCCATTGACCACACCTATTAGTGTTTGGGGACTCGAACAATCTTTTGGGATTCAATTTTTGGGATTCAAATATATTGACATAGTTTACTCTAACAATCCAGTTAAATCTATGTAGGTTTTGGAGAGTTAACCTACTAAACCTACCAATAATCCTCCCAAACTCACCAATAATCCTCCCAAACTCCAATAAAAAACAGTTGAAACTGAACAAATAATGTTGAAGGCATTGAAAGGGAGTGGTTTGGGGAAAATAATAGAAAGGGTGTGGAATTTGGTTAATGATGGAACTTTTGACTTGAAACAAAAGATGATAGATAGTGTCAGAAACTATTCATGAACCTTAGAACATGCCTATTATGTGGTCCCTCTACCTACCTCCCCATGTCTCTTCTTTAATTTAATTAATTGTTTACTTACAGCATTTTCATAAGGATTTTTATATGATCCAATTCCAAACCCTATATTATAAAGAGTTTATCATAAAAATAATAGTTCAATAGACTTTTATTTTTTAAATGTAAATTAAAAAATGGGTTTGAAAAAATTATAAGTTTATATGCATTTTATTAATTATTAATTATTCCTATTAAGTTTATTTCTTGAAAAAACATATTCTCCCTCCTAAAATTTAAAAAGTCTACTAGATTTAAATAAAAATTTTGTTCTTTATATTTAAAAATCAACGAAGATGCTCTTTATTTATATGAAAGATATTTTTTTAAAATAAAGAGCATCATTGGAGATACTCTTACTTAATCACTTGCATTAATAATAATCAAAACACTAGTCATACCCTTGTATTTATTAAGATTGAAATTGAGTTGGGATAAACAAAGTGTTTGGTTTGATTTAAAAGTTGAGTTGATTGCAATCTTCCATCCACCACCAACATTGGAACAAATCCCATTATTATCATTTTCATTCCATGATTTAAGGCGACAACTTTTTTTGCTTCAACTTCATCCCTTTTTATTTTTTTTTTTATTTTTTTTAATATCATTAGGGGTATTCAAACTACTTTGCGCGTATCTCAACTAATCTCTCGAGACTTTAAAACTATTGTTTGGATAAAAGTTCCAGTAGTCACCCCTATTAGTGCTTAGGGACCTGAACTCAAGAGCTCATGAAATTTTATTTTGTTTTTTAACCATCAGGTTAACCAGTGGTGGTCACCACCCTTTACTATTGTTTCCTTTTTCACATTTCAATTTCAACAATTACAACATTTCATCTCTTAAGTAGACATGCTAATATCATCAGGTTTATTTCACATATCTTTATCAAATCCTTTACTTAAAGTGTATTTGTATTTTTTAAGACCTTTAAAAAACCCTCATTAATCAGGTTTTTTATATTTATATCAAAGTAAACGATCTCAACGTATGCATACGTAAAAAATGGTTTTTGAGTCAATAAAACATATAAACATGATTGAATAAGATTCTATTTAGGTGGAATCATGAAGTTAATTCACATTAAAAATATGTAAAAATATATAAATTTTTTAAATATTTGTTATAGATCGAGGATGATGACATTATCATCAGATCCCATGGCAGAATAAAGGAAAGAGGAAAATCCCCAAAAACATCATTTACAAGGAGGTAAAAAGAATAGTATAAAACAAATCCATAGAACAAAGCAATCTGTTTTACATTTTTCATAATTAATCGCATCCCTTTTCTTTTCTTTTTTTTCTCTCTTAAGTCAACTACATACAATTGATGAACAACTTTATGAGGATGATAATGATGATTATTATTATTATTTAGGTAATCACGGTATTCGGGTCAGCTTGCGTGCGATAAATTAATCTTTATGATCCATTAAACATCATACAAGCTTAAAAGACTATGTAAATCATAATGTTATTATAATAGATGATCTCAAAGTTTAAACCTAGAAACTTAAAGAAGGAAAAAAAACTTCTTTGACCGCCAATCTAACCCCAAGGGAATTAATTTATGATGATTATTGAGAGCAACCCAATACACAAAATAGTAGTTGGCCCATTCAACTTTGACTTCTAAGTTATAATCAATAAGTTGTGGACAAACTTTCTTTTCAATGTCTCTCTCAATTTTTTCTTATTTTTTCAACTTAAAGACAAATTTCTTAGCTCTTGTAATCAAAAAGGAAAGAAAATAAAGGTCTTTCTCCTTCATTTTTCAATCAAAATTTTTAATGTCCAACCATATCCCTCTACCTAGCAATAAACTTTCTTTCTACTATGTTCTCTTCTAATTTAAATCAACTCTTCAAGGGCAAACTTTCTAACCATCAACATCATAATTTAAAAACCATCACTGGATGGTCCAAGTGGTTAACTAAAACTCTTAGGTGTATTATTCAAGAGGTACTGAGTTTAATTCACTTCAATTGTTAATATGGGTGACCACTAAAACTCTTACCCGGTTAATAATTACAAGGTTTTGGAACATTAGTTGAGATGTGTACAACTTTGGTCATCATAAAAAAAAAAAAAAATCATAATTTAAAATTTTAATATATGAGTATCTAATCAAATGTTAGAAATTCTAGGTGGAAGAACATCTCTCTTTATGCCAATTTTCCTAACCCACCCTTAAAAAACAATAAAAATGGGATTATTCACTTTAAGGCAAATCTATACATCTACTTTGAACTAAACTTTTATAGCTTTCTTTTAAATATTTTATACTAAATTTCCATACTTTCTACAAATCTTTTGAAAATTATATACATCCTTTATCTCATTTTCTTCTACCTTTTTTTTTTCCCCAAACTTTTATCACGAGTAATCAAGAAAGGTCATTTGAACTTATTGTTTTATGGTAAAAGATCAATTATTTTTGAAGCCATAAATATTAAAGTCTTTTGTTGCATAATAATGATACCCTCTTGGCCAACACCTTATTTATGGAAACTAAAAGTTAGAGGAATTTGAATTGATTCAAGTTTTGAAATTGAATTTATTTGGTTGTGGAATAATTTGAATTTTCACATACCCCTATAAGTCTTATCGGTGACCGATACTCTTTAATCTTAAGATTTTTCTTTTATAATGGTTTTTTTTTTTTTTAACAAATATTAATGATTTTGTTTTTTCAAGAAATATCTTAAAAATGACATTATCTTTTGTCAATCTTTTAATCACCCAAAATCTCAATTAAATCACACAATATCACTTCCAAAGAATTGAAAAATATAGTGATTTTTGGGTATTTTTTGTGATAATTTCCCAAACTATATAAGTCAGAGGAATTTGAAATTTGGAATCAGAATTTATTTGAGAAAAAAATTAATTAATTTTAGTTGTGGAACAAAGCGGCCGGTTTGTTAGATGAAAGATGTAAACAACTATACAAGAGTTAGCTAGGTAAAGCTAGCCGGGTTAGAGCTGCCGTGCCTGTGACGGTGAAATAATAAGGCTTTGTTTGGCGGACCCTACAAAGTCAGAAAAACATTTGATTAATGCCACCTAATAGTTCCAATTTTTTAAACCCATTTAGTCAAGCCGGCCATTTCAACTTCAATTAATTACTATAATAATTAATTATAATTAGTGTTATTAAAGTAAGTGATTAATAGGTGTGTTGAAATTTCATGGAACTTTGTTTCAACTTTAAGGAACACTTTAACAATTGCATGTTACAACTTTTAATTTCTAATTATTCATAATTATTAACATTTTAATAATATTTATATGGGTATTGTCTTAAGAAAAGGAAGGTTTGGTGAAATTTATCAAGTAAGTTGCACTTTATATAACATAAATATTTCAAATACTAGGAATAATTTAAATTTGAGAGATTTTAGTAAGTACTTATTAAATGCCAATTTTCTATTTTTATTATTTTTTTTAAAACATAAATGTTGCAATTAATATGCTTAATTATAGAATTGTACAATATGAATTAATATGGTGTGATACACTTGATTTTTTATTGTCGTAAACTATAATATTTATTGTCGTAAATAGTCTTAAAATTTGAACCAAAAAACTCAAAGAAGAGTGCAAACCTCTTTGACTGTCAAACCAGTCTCTTGGGGTTTACACTTGAGTTTTAGTAATGCCATTGTTATTGTTCTTATTAATTATAAAAGAAAAAGAGTTTGAATGTGAAAGTGATAGGTCAATTAATAAAAACAAAATTGAACTGGATGATTTACGATAATTGCAAGGTGAAGTTTCAAATTAATTAGATATTTTGTAAAAATATCTCATCCCAAATTCATTTGACTTTAAATTTTAAACTAGACAAATTACAGATGTCAAATGAATTGAAATATAATGTATTATAACAGTAAATATGAAAATAAAAACAAAATATTATTGAGAGGATGAGAAGAAGACAAGTAAAATTGGCCACAGTTGGCTGTGTACCTAACAAAAGTGCATTCATGAACATTTGAATTGAAATATAATCGTCGGACCAACAATAAAAAATATTACATTTTTTATTTATTTAATGACTATTTTGACTTTTATCCCGAGAATAGCCAACAATATTTTCCATTGAGTGAATAATTGATATGGATCCCAAAAACAACAGGGCTTTTGAATAAGCATGAGTAATCAAATGAAATAAAGCGGCTCGATAAGACCCCATACCTAAAGCTAACATCATATAATAACCCAATTGAAACATTGTAGAATAAGCTAAACTTCTTTTAATATCTTTTTGAGCAAGAGCTAAAGTAGCTCCCAATAATAATGTTATTATACCTATCAAAGATATTAGATTCATTATGTACAGTACGACTATGAAAAGCGGAAGAAGACGAGCTACAAGAAAAATTATGGCCGCTACCATAGTTGCAGCATGGATAAGAGCCGAAATAAGAGTAGGACCTTCCATGGCATCAGGTAACCATACATGAAGGGAAAATTGTGCGAACTTAGCAACCGCATTTGCAAATAATAGAAAGACACACAAAGTAACAAATAAAAGGTTAACCTTATTATTAGAAATCAAGTTATTAAATATTTCAAACAAATCCTGAAATTCGAAATTATCTGTTATCCAATAAAGACCTAAGATTCCTAATAATAAACCAAAATCTCCTACAGAATTAATTACAAACGCTTTTTGACAAGCACTGGCCACAATAGGTTAGGTGGACCAAAACCCTATTAATAGATAGGAACACATTCCCACCAATTTCCAAAAAATATAAGTTTGGGTCAGTTTATGCGTACTTCATCTAATCATTTAGGACTCTAAAACTACCAATTAGGTAAAAGCTCCCCTGGTTACCCCCATTAGCACCTGAGGAGGGATTCAGACTCATGACCTTTTGAGTAATACATCTAAAGTCCTTATCGAACTTTTCGACCACCTAGAGGAAGTTATAAACTTTGGGTTGTGGTTTAATGAAATGTTTTTACCATTAAGCATAATTAATATTTTAGGGCATGTTTGACTTATTACTTTTACCCATATTCCCAATCCTATTCTCCAAATAATGTTTGGCACATTATTCCAGAAATATTACCCTATTTTTTTAATTACTTTTAGACCCCATAAGGTTATTAATTTCATTAAATGCCCCTTGAAAAAAAAGGTTTAAAAATTAGCAAAAACACCACCGCGACCCATACTTGCCAGATTCCGGCAACCACCGTCGGTGGTAGCCGGAATCTGTACAACGGCCTACCTGCCGACCATAAATGGCCGAAAGTTCACCGATATGACCTTTTTCGGCCAGATCCACCACGAATCTGGTCGGAAAATGCCAGATCTGGCCGTAACGACGGCCAAAGAAATGGTCGTTGTTGACGGTCAACGACGATCAAATCTTAGCCATCGTTGACCGAAAACGACGGCCATATCTTTGGCCGTCGTTTTGGCCTTTTTCGACCGTCGCGGCCACGACAGGCCATGGATCTGACCTTTTTCGGCCAGATCTATGGTGGATCTGGCCGGAAAAGGCCATAACGACGCGTTACGACACAGATCCGACTGGTCTGTGTCGTAACGTGATTTTTCGGCCAGATTCCGACGATGATGGCCGGAATCTGGTATTGCAGGTGATGGGGGTGTTTTTATCATTTTATACATTAGGGTGTTTAATTAAATTAGCAAACCTAGGGGCTTTTTCATAAATTTTTAAATTTTACCTCCTAATACTCCCTTATCCAACTACCCAATATTATTTTTAAAATCCTACTCAAAAAAATAAACTAAACGCACCCTTAATTACTTATGCTTTATGATGGTTGAAACAGTCTACACAACAATGATTTTTGTCTAGAAAGAATGTGATCCTTTTACCAGCAAAAAATTGTGCTTTCTGATGGAGACTTGGTCCCCCCTCTTTCTTTTTTCTATATTTTTCTTATCTTTTTAAATATAAATAAGAATTCGATTCGATTTATTTATTTTTTTCAAAACAATTAACAATTTATTCATGTTAATGGGAAAAAACATTTTAAAAACTAGATTCAACAATAAAGTTTAGAATCCGATCATAACTTTTGTTGGTTCCATTAACAATAATTTAGACACAGAATTTATTCACATTGGAATGGTTGACATAAAAAAATATATATTTTGGGGGTAATGCATATATAATAAAGTTTATCATATGTTTAGAATATTATATCACACTCAAGTGACACCAGCTACAAATAAATGATGTAATAATCTAAGCATCTTCTTCGAAGAATTTCTATTTACAAATATTATTTCAATTTTTCATAATTAATTCTTATAATTAAGTTTGGTTAAAGTCTTTGAAACATGGAATATTATATCACAATCAATTAGTACAATGCAAAATGATGTCACCAGCATCTCAAGTATTAATTAGTGACTATTAGGAGATATCATTATATCTAATTTAGAGACACTTGTCCCATCCTAATTTTTTTTTAATAACCAGAATATTTGGGTCAGTTTGTACGCGTCTTAACTAATCCCTGTAGCTTATTAAATACCTTATAAACTCAGTATTCTAAGATAAGTCACATATGTGATAGATAATCCCAAGATTCGAACCCAAAAAATCTAATATTTTAAGATAAATCATATATGTGGTAGGTGATCCCAAGATTCAACCCTAAAAAATCAATAAAAGGAATAAATCTTCTTAACTGCTAGACGAATCCTTAGAGTTTATTCTAAAACTCTTTTCCCATATAGTCTTATCTTTTACTTCAAGATTAATAAATGAAATTAGATAAAGATACTTGTAAGATTATTAAAAATCTTACCAAAAAAAAAATTTGTTTAAAAGATTCACAACAAAACATTGGTAACTATTTTTGTTTTGTTTTAGAATTACATAAAAATGATTGGAAGGTGGAGTATGAGATGCTTGAAATTGGTGAAATTGTTCCCATCATAATCAGCAATCCCATCACACAACTGTCTCTTCAATCTTCAAAATCAGCAGGGCTCTCAAGTCCATGCCATATATCTAATCTCTTAAATCTTATTCAATATTCAATTCCAAAGACTTGACAATGGTGGCACAAGCACATATGCTAATGCCAATCCCTAAAACAAATCAAATTCCATTTTCAACCAATACCCTCTCTCCTTTTTCATCATCCCTCCCTCCATTTTCTCATTTACCAATCAAACCCCACATGAAAAAAGAGAGAGAAAGTAGAGGCAGAGAAAAAGAGTCAAATACAAAAAGGAAAAGAAAAATGTTTTGTTGCACAAGAAAACAAAACGAAAACATAAGCTAATAAGTAAGCAAAGGCAAAGGCAAAGGCAAAGGCATACCCTCTCTCTCATCAAACCAAGCCTTGTTTTTCACTCTTCTATCTCTTCTTCTTCTTTCTTCCTTTCTCCAACCAAACCAAACCAAACTAGACTAACTCTTGAAAAAGAGACTTTCTTTCTTTCTTTCTTTCTGTATATTTTTTTTTGTCTTTGTTTGGTGGAGGTGGTGGTGGTGGAGGTGGTGTTGTTGTTGTTGAAGAAGAAGCCATCAAAAATGGAAACCACAACAAGAATATTACAAGAAAGCAAGAACCCATCTCCCTTAAACTCACCAAAGAGTGTTGGAAGCAACAACATCAGCTGTAGCAACAGCAATGGGGTCCAAATTCACACCCCACCACTCACACCAATTCCCATCTCCAGATCTACAGAAACTAACCCTTACCCAACAACCTTTGTTCAAGCAGACACAACCAACTTCAAACAAGTAGTTCAAATGCTAACTGGTTCTTCTGAAACCGCCAAGCAAGCTTCATCGAAACCGGCTGTGCCAACAGATCCATCTTCATCATCAAACAAGTCGTCTTTTGTCATACCGCCCATGAAGACCACCACGCCGAAGAAACAAAATTTTAAGCTTTATGAAAGGAGAGCTAACAACTTCAAGAACAGTCTTATGATCAACACTTTAATACCAAGTTTTGCAAATAATTCTGGGTTTTCTCCTAGGAATAAGCCTGAAATCTTGTCTCCAAGTTTGCTTGACTTTCCTAAACTTGCACTTAGTAGTCCTGTTACACCACTAAATGAAGACCCTTTCAACAAGTCTTCTCCTTCTTTAGGAACGTCATCATCAGAGGAAGAGAAAGCCATAGCTGAGAAGGGATTTTATTTGCATCCATCACCAATATCAACTCCTAGAGATCATGAGCCACAGCTTTTGTCACTTTTCCCTGTAACTTCACCTAGAGTTTCAGGCTCATCTGCCTGAAAAAAAAAAATTTATGTAATTTGAGAATGGTTGTAAGAGGAAGTTTGATGGGTCCTGGATGATTTTGAGGGACGAAAAGTAGAGGATCTTGTTTCAATTGTACAATTTGATCTCTTTTTCATAATATGGTAAAGCTTCTTATTTAATTTCTTTGTTTTTTTTCTGTTTTTCTTTTTTAATTTTTGATTTTCCTCTGACATATAAAACTCTAAATATGAAGTGAATTTTCTTAACCTTCTCTCCAAGTGTTTGCATGATCAACAGCAAGCAGGCCATGTATCTTTTGTTCTATATATTTATTTTTACAATGGCAGTAAGTCATTTAGTGATTTGCCTAATCATACACTTGTTGAAGTCTGTGTTTGTCTTTATGTTGTATGGATTAATTTGCAAGAATTTCAAAACAAATGAAGAACCAACCTTTCTCTTTTTCTCTCTATCACACTCACACCCAGCACTGCAACTCTCAGAATTTGTGTTTGCATTTGAATTTTGTAAAACAGTAAAAACAAAATACAACAAGATAACATTTGAGTTTGTGCTATGTGTATGTATGGCTTGTTAATCCAAATGAAAAGGGAAAATTAGTTAAAAATTGACTGGTTCATTCATTTGAATGGATGTCATTGATTCACATAAATGCATTTGGATGGTGCATTAAATTGAAATGAGCAGTCAAATCTATTGTGGTACAAATTCCAAGTCTTTTTGTTTAATGACACTACTGGGTTGTGGTCTTTGAAGCTAAATCAAGTCAATTTCCCACCTCAGGGGGAGTTAATAGTTTGCCAGAGAAGCATTTTCATTTTTCAATCTGAAAATGACCCATATTGCAGACCAGAACTCAACAAGAGACAGCAAATGTAGGCTCATCTAATTCTGTTGACTCAGCCACAACAATTTGGTGATTACTTAAACTCATGGCCTTGAAAATTTTACAAGGTAGGCAAAAGGAAGCATCAGGCCAGCCATTTGAAGCACTTTTCTTGACTTCTTGTTCAATATTCAGTACAGTTATCAGATTTTTTTGGTATTGAATGCTTGCATTTGTAAAGTTGGTTGGAACAATGAAGATGAATAATTAATTTGAAAGAAAAGTCAAGTCATTGTCTTAATGTTAAATACATTTCTTGTTTTTGCTAAGCAATTTCTTAAGAACTTTTTGATTTATATATTTTTTCTGCCCCTTTTTTTGACTTGAAAGAGATGAGTTCATACTGAATGTAAAACACAAGAAAGGTTAAGACACATGAAAGAGGAAGTGGGGGACTAAGTTATGATGATGATTGAAAAAGAAAGTATAATTTTTTTCAAGTAAAGCAACGAAAATGTGAAGACTTTTTCTTTCCCATTTGGAGTTTTACTTTGTCAGTATAAGTATCTGAGAGCTGGACCCAAAGAGTTATGGCAATGGACAAAAAAACTGCCAATTTTCATCCCTTTTTATCCCTCTTTGGATGCCCTTAGCTATTACCCATTTTGTCACTTCCCTCACTATGGTAGTTTCTATTTTTAGAATCTTGTAGATTCTCTATATATTTTCCCCCTTAAAATCTGAACCCAAATTTCATCTGATTATTTTGGGGAAATCAAAGTTTTCCAGAATATTATCAAATATAAAGTCAAAATCTCTATAAAAACTTGATCAAGTCTTGGTCTTTATGCACTATTCTAAGAATGAAAATTGTATATTGAAATATCTTTTGACAGTTGAATAGTCTCAATGAAATTATAAAAGTGACGTTCAATGTGGAGAAAACGTGAGATGAATTTTACTCTTTTAATTCAAGTATTCAACTGTGACAACTATAATGGAATCAATTGACCTTGGAAGTTGGAACTTCTCTTGCATTTTTGTTTCATTTTTTTTTTTATAGAAGATTCAAATTTACTAGTTCTACCTCACATGTCAAATCACCATTTACTTAGTCATTGCCCATATATAAGTCTATATAAGTCTAAGGATGTTGTTGGTAACCGGAGTGTCTGGATCAGATTACACGTATCTCAACCAATTTTTAGTGTCCATTAAACACCCTATAAACATAAAAGAGTAGATAAACCACAATATTGTTACGATAATTGACTCCAAAGTTTTAACTCAAAAACTCAAAAAATTATAGTAGATGACCCCAAGAACTTAAAAAAAGGGAATAAACCTCTTTGATCACATACCAATCCCTAGGGGTTTACATTTAAATTATTGAGATTATGGTTTTTCATCTCCTGTTATACTATGATGTCTCATATTATCCATAATATCACTAAAGGTTTTGTTGGTTCAAATTTGAGTATCAAATCAGGTTAAGAATTTTAAACATATATTTGATATTTGAATTCTAAGATCTTTACGATTTCTTATTTAATAGTAAATATTATACATCATAAATTCTGTTATTTATCCCTGTATTGAGAAAATATAACTGAACAGGTGAATGAAAGAAATGCAGCAAAAATCATGCATACTTTGGAAACAAGCTATCATTTATCTTCAAAGCCAAGAACATACTTAAGTGTTAAAAGCAATGCAGATTACTAGACAATGCTCATAACATTTTACAGTGACAGACATCTTGTTTCTAAACCCCTGACTTGTTTATTCTTGGTGTTCATATATCAACAGTAATTATCATATTTGAAGCAGGTGTGCTTTTATATTTCTGCGAATGAAGTGATTGTCTTGAACCCGTGATTCTCTGGAAGAGGACCATTTCCCGGCCGGACAGAGATTACCACGTCCAAACCTAAACCATGGACCAGAATTTAGAGAAACATCAAATATTCGGAGTGAAAATCTGAACACTAAACCATCTTTCTCCCTACACAGTAATGATAAATATTCATAAAGACTGTTCCGAATGCAAAAACTAATACAATTCATGTAACAAATTTCTGAAAAGAGTAATGCTACAGTTACCGACGGGTGTGCACCGAATTTGTGCACCGAATGACGTAGCAAAATCCGGACCGTTGATTTATTATCAATTAATATTAATCAACGGTTAGGATTTTGTCACGTCATTCGGTGTAAACTTTTCGGTAACTCTATCATTTTCCTTCTGAAAAAACTATATTATATGGCAATGAAGATGCAGTATAAAGATGAAATGATGTAATTCCTTATTAAAAAAGGGTGAGTTTGGACATCCTAATTTATTTATCTAGTTTAGCCACATTTGCATTGCAGATGAACCTGATGAAAATGCATGTGTTAACAAGAAATTGTTAAAAATATATGATTATAAACAACTGGTTACCCGCAGCTTTTGCAGCCGTAGCTTCTTGATAGACATCTGTAACAAACAAAATTTCAGATGGTTTATCAACTCCCACTGAATCTGTGATTTCAATGTAACTTTGTGTCTCTCTTTTGTTCCTGCAAGCAAGGGGAAGGCATATTTCCGTTTGGTCAAAACATAATAAGGCAGAAGAAAATTAAGTAAAACAACACCAAAGTTACAGAACATACCCGACTGCAGTGTCAAAAAATCCAGATAAATATTTTCTTAAATCCCCATGGTTTGAATTTCCAAATATAAGCCTCTGGGCCAATCTGCTACCACTAGAATATATGTATACCTGTCATATTGCAAAGAAATAGTTAGTACTATTGCAAGTGAATTTTCAATGCATCCTCAGAAATTGAATGATAGCCTGCAAGGAGAATAAAATTGGTTACTTCAGTAATGAAGAGGATTAACTCAACTTTTATCAGAGACAACTCTAATGGAAAAAGGTCTTGTGCAGGTTTGAACCTTCTAGACACTTTTATTTTAAGAAAAATGCACACTTCTGTAGATGAGAAAAAGAAATATGCACAGTAAGATGAACCCGTCACCCACCATCAATTTACCCCCCCCCCCAAAAAAAAAAAAAAAAGAGAGAGAGAGATAGTAAAAACAAAAAGAACCTCTGCAGTTTTATCGAATGCACAAGTCATCACCCAACATTAATACAAAACAGCCTTCCAGATTCTCCAACATGAAAAGAAGATAAGAATTCTGGACATCCGTAGTAATAGACACCTATGAGGACGATAGCAGAGATATTCTCTCCTAAATCATCTTCAAAACTTTTCATTAAAATTACCCAAAAAACAGGTAGAATATTAAGATAGCTATGTTAGTACAAAAACTATCACCAAACTTCTGGTAAACATATTCTATATACAACATTCTAGAGTAAGAGCATGAAAAGCACTCAATAATAGAGGTGGACAAATGGAAAAGATAAGAATCATCTCAGTAAGAATTTTTAAAAGAATAAGACCTTTATTCCCAAAGCATTCCACTTTTCAAGGGCTTCAGGCACATCATCAAAAACTACTCCTTCCAATTCATTATTTTCAAACCCAGTTCGCCAAATATGACCCTGCACATATAAGTATTAGCTACATACAAAGCCAATCTCATAGCAAATATATATTTTTCGAAATCAAATATTGCATACTTGCAGTTGTTTTAAAGCGGTGATCTTCCGATCAGCCTTTATCATTGCTTCCACATTAGCAACCAAAGCTGCTATCACCTCCTCTTTCCCAGCATCATCTGGAGGTACAGGTACAGCACCAGCAACTCCTTGTTGCAGGTCATCTTGAATCTGCAACAGGAATTTGGAAAAAAAAAACTAATGATTTTTATGACAAAAATTTTGTGGACCCTACCTGAATTATAATCATAACATAAGGGTGACAATCTTGAGAATCAAGAAAAGTAGAACATGCACCATCACTACTACTCTGAGTTGTATGATCCTGGACCATATGGATTTTTACTCCAACTAGCAAAAGGAATATAGAACCAACTAAAAAAGCAGCATGGGGTTCTAGAACTAATTACTTCTAACATCTTGAAGCATCAAATAGCCATGCCTATACCCATGTCAAGCAACACAAGCACATAAAGAATAAAGCCAAGGATTTAGATAATATACTTGAATGGGGCAGAAAAAAGAGAATGTGATAATTTATGCATAATCTCATACAAACTAGGAAATGCTTGGCTCGTGCTCTTTCCAAGTTTCTTTTCTCATGCCTGACTGGAATTTTGCAAACATATTATTCTCCATCAACCTAGGAAGGGCCCAGGGAAATCAGATTTCAGCTTCATCATTTGTATCTAGTTCTCATCCAATCCAACAACAATCAAATCAATTTGAAAATGGCAGAAATGATCAATTCCCTTTTCAGATATTATTTCTTTCTGTTTCAATAAAAAAATACTTCAAAATGCTCACGAGCATCAATAAATATAATGAGGATTCAAGTTACTGTTATAATGTGAAATGTATGAGTTGGACATCGCCCCTCCGGTCTTCAGCCGAATGAATTCTTGAGTGTCTGTCAAGATTTTACTGCTATCCAGGCCGTACTATTTAACATTTAGGATTTCTTTCTTTGTTGGTTAATTCTTGCAGTAAAACTTATCCAGTAAAACGTAACATGTTAACAGGCAAGATAATACTAACATCAATACTTATTGAACTTAAATTGCAAGGAAAATAGAATACGTTTGTAGTTTTCATGTAGTAGTACAACAGATATTAATTCCTACAAGAGTGCAATCCTATGTCACAGTGTTCTGAGAATCACATATATATATCATGATGTAACCTGTAGTTCATGACAGAAGGCCTAGCTTAATGAGGTAAGACAGTTTTGCATTTTCCACAAGTACCATCATCCATTGAAATCATATAAACAAAAGCTTACTTGAGAGCGCAACAACTTTATATCTTCTTTAGTTTCTGCTGTGTCGTATGTCGCAGACAAATGCCTTCCAACACTGACACGAGCATATGGAAAGAGAATCTCAGTAACAAATGATATGGGAGTAGTAGTCCCTTCAATGTCAAGCACAATGCAACTCTGCAACCATACAATTGAACAATGAAAATGGAATTTTGACAATACAAAGAATCTAAGGACTAGAATTTCCCAACTCCAGAAGCAGAAATAGTTTACAGAACTTCATCTTGCTTATATTACCAAAATGGAAGGTAAGCATCTAAAGATATCTCTTGAAAGGGAGAAAAGGTAAAATTCTTACTGGCAATGGATCTGAACCAGAATTTGAGTCTCTAGTCATTGCTTTTGGGGTAATATTTATGTACTCGTTACTGCCTGAAATTCCTTTGGCATTCTGAATTGGACCATGGTTTGGAGTAGACCAGTCCAGACCCAGTTGATTAAGTTTGATAGCAGCATCAAAGAGATAGTGATAACATTCAGCCTGAAAGATAAGCAACCAAGAAGAAAAGAATACACATGTTATATTCTTATAACTATACGGACATGGGAGATCAACCAAAAGTTTTCTATTTCCACTTGAAGAAATAAATTAATATATGTGCTTGAGCATGAAACAAGGATGGACTACTGGTGAAGTGGTGAAGATACCTATCTTTGGATATTAAGAAGGCATGAACTTTTCGTACACCATATTCTTAAGAAGGCATGAACTTTTCTTTGGGTGAGGGAAGAATCCAAGCATAGAGTTGAAAAAGAGTAACCATTGAGTTATATAGTGGCAAGGAGTGTGTTATAGTAATCCTACCTAGAGATAATTGCAGCTCCTAGAAGCACTGAAGGAGAACTTTAAAGTGATTATCAATTGGAGGTAAAAAATTTATGACATAAAATACAGAAGCTTTATTTATAACATTCACTAAAGGGGAAAAAAAAAAAAAAAAAAAAAGAATAAAAAAGGTGTAAAAGAACATCTTGTACATATATCAAATTAGTCCAAATTTATTCATAGATATCCAAACCTGAGTTTTAGCACTGATCCACGAGTCCCCCCAAATGTATACGCCATGATTACGAACAAGCACAGCTGTTGCTTTGGGATAGGCTTCTATCTGAAAAACAAAAAGGAGATCCCACCAGTAAAAGTCCATATTTTACGTGGAACTGAAAAAAGAAATTCCTGGGGAAAAACATAGAAATAAAATCAACTCATCAAGGATGCACTCTTATTGTCCTCCAGAACTATTCCGACTATCCTAACAGATAAGTGTTGGACATGCCGAATATCAATTTGATAAATGTCCTTTCATATTATGAGAGACTAATAAGTAAGGTTACTTAGATAATAATGTTTTTGAAACACTAATCACATAACAAGCCATCGTAGGCTTACAACTATTGGGGTCTAGTCCATAGGAAAACCTAAGATATTTCTGTTCGCAGCATCATTTCCATTCAATTATCAACATAATAAGTTGACATTTAATTCACTATGCAGGACCAAACATAAAACCAATCATACCGCTTTAGCAAGAGAATCAGTGAGCTCATTTTCATAGGCAGTGTTCTCTATGATTGGGACCACAAGTTCATCATAATAACCATGCCCTTGGATTCCTTTTATCATCTCCATATGAGTTATCTGTAAGTTTGCAAAAAGCACAAGCAAATCAAATGTTAAAAGAGGCAACAACTAGGAGTTGAAGAAAGCAAATCTATATGTATGCTGAAAAGTTTAATCGCTTATGAACAGCTTGTTATATAAACTAAAGCCATCATCACCTTTTAAATAATTTAATAGAGAAATTAGCTGATCTTTTACTAGTTGGAAATAGACTGATACAATTAACCTATTTGATGTCACCAACTTCAATTTTGCAACATGACAGTGGATATGGCATAATGGGATTAATAGTATCGAATCCAACAATGTCCTCACAGATGTAGATAACTCATGCTTAACAACATATTCCATATGACAACACAAGATTTTTCATGAGATGGTTTACATCAATAAAACCTCAGCCAACCACTTTGGCGAAAAGGGGAGGGGGGAGGGAGAACAAGGGTAAAATGATGCTACTGTAAAAGGAACATGAAAAAATAAAATGGAGATAAGAACAAATTAGAATATTTTGCAGATAGCTGGAAGTGAAAAAAATAAAAAACTTACACGAAATTCTTTTGAATTCGGATTGATCATAGTAACTAGGCAAGAATCTATCCCATGACTGTGGATAACAGCTCCAGCATTACGCATCTCATATGACTGGGTCACAAGCGAAATTAGTATTAACGTGACTTTATGAAAGTAAATCAAATACCCAAACACAAAAATAAAAAATAAATGGTCATCCTAAAAAAAACCAATAAAGATTAACACAATGAAAAGTAATAATCATAATAAGTTAGTTGTATACACAGGATGAGAAATCATGCAAGTAGAAGGAACACTAAATAATTTTTTAATTAAGCCAGGAGGGAGGTCTAGTCTTAAGAGATAATACGGGCAGGAACTAAGTCAATGAAAAGTATTCTAAATGCCTTAAACAAGACAAAATGTTCACACATTATAGAATTGCTAATGACTCATGTAAAAATCAACTAATAGAAACACAAATAAACCACAAATTACAGGATTATCTAAGACTGGTTAACTGCAAACCATTTTACATATGTTTACCCATACATGAAATAACATCAAAAGAGTTGCCAAACTATGATGCCCATTTGAAGAATCAATTAGACATTAGTTCAATCCTCAGAAAATCATATATTTTCATACAATTACATAAGTTCCATTTTTATCATAATGAACAAACAGTACTAAAAGAGATAAATGTCAATGCAATAAATTACATCAACATGGAACCTAATTAAAATTCAAGTTGCTTTTGGAGCAACTCAATCTTCTGACTGATTCATTAATATCAAATTGAGTTATACTTTTCAAGGTACAGATAGCTGATACCTTCATGAAAAGAGGAGCACAATCAGAACATTTGGGAAACTTATGTGGGTACGGCTTCGGAGATGGCGAATACAAGATAGATCCATTTCCAGACATCACATACATGTCCTCTGGCTCCATTCTCTCCTTCTGAACGCCTTTTTAAACATCAAGATCAACACACAATGAGCTAGAATTTCATATACACCCAAAATAAAACAAGGAAATACATTAACCAAAACCAAACATAAACAACAAATACCCAGTAACTAAACAATACAGAAAAAATAAAAAATAAAATCTCACGACTGGTCTATATAATGCATAAACAAATATCAAACAGCACAAAACACACAAAAAATTAAGCTTAAAAAGAAATTAAAACTTGGAAGTGGAACAACAGAGAAATAAACACTAACTCATATTTGATACCAAATACACAGCCAAGAATCAGAAAGGGAAACATACACTGTCTAGATTGACTAAGAGCAATAATCAATAAATCAAACAAACAGAGAATAGACAAACAACGTATTTGTACTTGAATAAAAAAAAAAAAAAAAATCATAAATCAAGCAACGTAAACATTCTGAATTAAGCTTAATTTCACATATTCCAAAAATCAAATAACACATATAATCAAGCAAAATAGCTTTAAAAAGTTACTCTAACATTAATCAAACAACTCAAAAGAATGAGGAAATACAAACTTAAGAGCTTTAACCAGACACTTGAGCAATTGGAACTCGATAAACACAAAACAAAAAACTCAAAACAGAAGCAAACACAAAGAACAAAACTTTAAGCTAAAGATAACCAAATAAGCATGAAAGAACAAATACCCAGAAGCCAAAAGAGGGAGATGAGAGACATACCAGAAGGTGACATGAGGATGAGCTGTTGAGGTTTAGGGATGGAGTCATCATGGACCTTGATTGTGATGCTGCCACCTGTCCCAGATACCCAACCAAGGGTGTAGAACTGACGGCAAAGCTCTGACATCAACACTCTGGTCTCCTTCACAGCTTTGCTCTCCAAATACGCCTGAGTATGCGCTATTCCGGGCCCAGCTCCGTTCACGGCAACAGTGGCCATAGCTCTGAGAAAAAGATGCTATCTTTAAAAGAGAGAGAGAGAGAGAGAGTTGGTTTTGAGCTTATAAATAAAATAAAAGAATATAGTGTAAAGCAACGAATCTATGCCATCTGTTTTGTCTTTGCTGAAGGAGAAAAAGACATAGACATGGTGAAGTTGTTTGTTTGATGGTGTTGTTAAGGTTAAAACTTGAATGGAAAGAAGTGATTTTTGACCACGTGGGCGTCTGTGTGTGGGTTGGATTCTGTGGAGAGAAGTAATTAAATTGATTTGGTTTTGGGAATTAGAGAAGTAATTAAATTGATGTTTAATGGATGATTAATGGGTAATTAGTTGTGTTTTGACATTACTGCCTTAAAGAGTTATTGCAGTCAAAGTGCTAGGTTAAATTAAATAAATAAATGATATATTTTTCTAATAAATAAAAGAGGTAGATTGTTAGGGTCCGTGTGGTACACAACTTTTTAATATTTTATGCCCTATTCTATCTAAAATACACATTTATTCTCTTATTCTCAAAATATTATTTTATATTATTCAATCTTTTTTAAACCCCTTAAATTTATTAATTTAACTAAACACACCCAATTTTTTATTTTAGAAATTGACAAAAACACCACAACAACCCACATTTGCCAGATTCCAGTCACCATCGCCAGAATCTAGTATAATGAGCACTACCAACTGAATCTGGCAGGTACTACACCAGAAAATGTTGGATCTACAGCTAGATCTTTGGCCGTAGCCAGTTGTCAATGACGACCATATCTTTAGCCGTCATTGACAACCAAATGTAGCCAGATCTAGCCGTAGATCTGGCACCAAAAAAGGTCATATCGATGCACGACCGGTCAGATCTAGCCGGTCGTACACCGAAACGGCGACTCCACCACCTTTTGGCGGTAGTGGCTGACTGTTCGTATTTAATGGGTGGGTTGGGGGTGTTTTTGTTAATTTTTAATATTTTATTATAGGGGTATTTGTAAATAAACAAACATATGGGGTATTTTTGTTAATTTCTAAATCCTACATCGTAATACTCATCCAATTTTACTTTTTTCAAAATATTATTCTAACAATTATCAGAATAATGAACCAAATACACCCTAATATATTTAGAATTTTGCACTTTTTAATATTTAAGATACAGGGTATTCCTATATGGGAAATAAATAGAACTCAAATGGTGTCATTCCAAATCCAATGGTTCTTAATTGTGAACAAACAAAGTTATTTATCATTATTTATTCATAATTAAAGAAGAGATATCCCTTTCAAGTTTCCAAGATTAAAAGGGTGTATGAAGAACAAATGGAATAATTTAATGAAATGGCATGGGAAATGCCGGGATCAAATACCCATCAAACATAATAAAATGGGTATGGATTGAGATCCCATACCATTCATGCCATGCTCTTGATTTCAATTAACATGTCAACATAAATACCTCTAAAAACTTGCAGACCAAATGTGAGTGTTTAAGCATTTACTTTTAATTGTAGGATTTGTGAAGTGAGTACTTAAACGCTCAACTTTGATTAACACATTAAAAATTTTAAGACGTCTACATTAGAGAATGACTATTTATATATGTTATATTTATTTAGATCATATATATATAACAATTAGACATATTTGACACGTGACATGGTATAATATTAAATAATTAAATTGTATAACACTAAATAACACAATTCAATGTTTAGTAACAGAACTACATTGTATTAAATGATATCAAATTTAATTAAACATAATATATAACTTATTTTTAAGTCTTATTATAATTTTGATCAACCTAATGCTGAAGTTCAATCTTCCTTAGAAGAATCTACCGTCAAACAACAAAACCTTGGTTGAATGTTAGGCCAAGTGAAAACTTGTTTGATTATAGTTGTATAAGCATTGAATACAAATCATCAAATTGAGTGTCTCTCCCTAATTTATCTCATTTTATTTTTGATACAAAACTTAATGGCGTAATTGGATACAATCTTTACAAAGAGAATGGAATCATCCAACTTTCCAGAGAATCAATTGAGCTTGCCATCTCCAATTGTAGACATCTCTTTCATATATTAATGGGCATATATCTCCTTTCAACGTCTGTTTTGATCTTCTTTTGTCTCTATATATTCTTGTTTTATTATTACAGAATGCACTAAAGCCTACGTAAGGCAACCAACCTCCTTTTGAAACTGCAGGAATTGATTCATTTCTGTAATGGAGAAGAAAGCATGAGAAGTAGAAGTAGTTGGTGGAAGAAAGTTTGTGACATGGTAGAGGCCAAGGTTATGGTGTAGTAGAAGACATTGGTCAGAATTAACTCTTATTTCCGTTACCATTCTTTTCTACTACCCATAACCTCGGTTTCTGTCACGTTTGCTGGCCACCTTCAGCTTGCGGGAGCCACACATGCCAACTCTTGGGCCTTCGTTACTGGATTTTCTCTCATGGTAAACACTCTTATCTCTTCACCGGACTCAGATAATCTTTTGTTTTTTTTCCTTTCACTTCCAGTTTACAGAACCCTAAAACTTATCTAGTTATTTTTTATTGTATTTTGTATGCATATATTGACTGGTATTTTGCTTGTTATTTCAGACAGGATTAAGAGGAGCACTTGAAACACTTTGTGGCCAAGCATTTTCTGCCAAACAATATAGATTGAGATCCTTGGGGATATATCTACAAGCATCTACAAGCATCTACCATAATATCATTATTCTTATCAGTTATTATATCAATTATTTGGTTATATACCGAATCCATTCTTGTTTTGCTTCACCAACATCCTGATGTTTCAAAACAGTCAGCTCTGTACCTTAGATATCTTATTCCTGGACTATATGCCTATGGGTTTCTACAAAATATATTAAGATTTCTCCAAACACAGTCAGTTGTCTGGCCACTGGTATTCTTCTCAGCTCTGCCTGCGGGAATTCATTTTGGTGTTAGTTATGCTTTAGTTCATTGTACATCATTGGGTTACAAGGGAGCGGCACTGGCTGCTTCAGTTTCGTTTTGGATATCATTCCTTTTTTTGGCGATTTATGTCCTTGTTGCAAAGAAATTTCAGCATACATGGGAAGGATTTTCTATTGAATCATTCAGTTTTATCTGGACGACCTTAAAACTAGCCCTGCCCTCTGCAGCAATGGTCTGGTAAGTGACCAATTTTTCTTTATTTATTTTACTTCTTCTCTCTTCTAGATTTTAAATGCTAATAGCTGTCATACCTCAAGAAAAATAATTTAGAATCCTTAATGCTCTGGCATGATTCTGACATCACAATCTGATCAATTGGAAGAAGTAGAGTGTGAATATATAGAACCATTATCTTATTGGTCTGATTCTCTGTACTTTTCCAGCTTAGAGACTAGGGCTTTTCAGATTCTTGTATTCTTGGCTGGATTGATGCCAAACCCGGAACTAACTACTCCGGTTGCATTGTGGTAAGTTTCAATCTTGCATTACGTTTCTTTAATACACATTATATATGATAAAACGATCTTGTAAACTTGTATTTGATTATTTTTTCCTTTCTGTTTTTGTTATCTTCAGTTTGAATACAGAAGATATAGCCTACATGATTATCTATGGTCTTGGTGCTGCAGCAAGGTCAGCTTAGTTCAGAAAAATTACTTCTACATTACAATCTCGATCTCTGGTTCATTTGTTTCTGAAATTAAAAGCAAATTGTTTTGTGGCAGCACAAGGGTGTCAAATGCGTTGGGAGCTGCAAATGTCAGTCGAGCGAAAAATGCCATGGTTTTGACTCTCAAGCTCTCTGTCGTCCTTTCGATTACTGTAGTTCTTACTCTAGCCTTTGGTCATAACATTTGGGCTAGATTCCTCAGTAACAGCTCAGAAATAACAAAAGAGTTTGCCTCTTTGACTCCTTTTGTTGCTACCTCAATGGCAGTTGATCCAATGCAAGGTGTCTTATTAGGTTTGTACATGATCCAACATTTCTGGATTCATGCTCTGCAATGTGATATTGCGTGATGCAAATAAGGTTATGGTTCAGGAGTGACAAGAGGATGTAGTTGGCAAAAGTTCATTGTGTGGCTTAACCTGAGCTAGTTAAATACCGAGGGAAACCCCCCAATAGTCAAGACGCGTTTTGGGATTGAGCAAGGGTTCTTGAGCCTGAAAACAAAACCGTGAGAGGTGGGCTTCGGAGTGAGACCATCTAAACTGTCAAAGTGGATAATATCTTGACCGTGTTAGGCCGACAGTGGACCGAGGTATTACAATTAATATCAGAGCCAATCCCAACCAAAAGTGTGTCGATAGTTAAGAGATCTCACCTGGCCCCATCAAGATCGCAACGAGGACGCTAGATCTTGAGGGGGGGAGATTGAGACATCCCACATCGCTTGGGTAAGCGGGCTTGAGCTAGTTAAATATCGGGAGAAACCCCCCGATAATCTAGACGCGTTTTGGGCTTGAGCAAGGGTTCTTGGACCAGAAAACAAAACCGTGAGGGATTGGGCTTCGGAGTCAGACCACCTAGGCTACCAAAGCGGACAATATCTTAACTGTGTTAAGTCGGCAATGGGCCGGGGTGTTACACCATTTATCCAAATTGAATTCAATATCAATAATGTTACCTTTTGATGCAACCCCAGATTATAGAAATAAGCTTCAAAAATAAGAAATTATATAGGTAGTCAAAAAATAATCGTATGAGACAACTTCATTAATTAAAGAATGAGTAAACGACTTTTTCCCACCCAAGGTTCGCCTTAATGACATTTTTCCACTCAAAAAGTTTCAAAATACCACTTTCCCACCTAAAGCTAATATTCTATTACAACATCAAACCGATTCTGGCAGATTCTGATGGCAAAAATTCTCTCCGTCGCCACCATTTAAACCTCTGGTCTCCTCTCTACAACACTCCGACATCTTATTTCTCGTCGATTTCCAATCACCGCAAAGCTAGGGTTTCCTGTTCTTAATTGATTTTCAGCTGATTTCGATGGCGAATATTCAATCGATCACCACTATTCGATCCATCAGCCACTAGTATATATTATTTAATTAAGGAAA